TGTATCAAGTCCCAGAATTCCTCAGTCAGCATGCTTTAAGATAGATGGACTTCCACTCCCAGAATTCCCTGGCCAATAGCTTTAAGGTGGGTGGGCTCCAACTCTTCCGCTATGCTCCAGGGTCTGCAGGCATGATGGGGATTGTGGTGCAAAACTTAATTTTGCCAGTTTTGTTCCAAAACTTTTGTTTCATTTTTTTTTCCTCCTAGCACGCCCTTCCTCTTCCAGGGTTTCTCTTTCTGGCTCCAGATATTTACAGGCATGGACTTCTCTTCAGTCAAACTAGTGAGTTGATATGGAGAGCTGATTTTTAATTTGTAACGGAAATCTGGCAGGTGCCGCTTAAAATTAGAAGGAGTCTGGTAGCTGTGGAGTTGTCCTCTTAAGGACGGAGTGGAGTTACTCAACTTGAGACCAGTTGCTTAGCATGTTGTATGTTCTTTGAAGCAGGGGTCGCCAACCCTTTGGACCTCAGGGACCCCCAAACTCATAATTTTAAATCCCACGGACGAGTAATATGAATTTTGACTGACGGTGGCTTGCTGACATTGGTGGGAGAGAGAGAGAAAGAGACTTTTGGCTTCACGCAAGGAAAGCAGCAGAAGCCGCAGAAGTCTTTCTTTCTCTCCCCCAAACTCTGCCAGGAATGAGTCTTTGCCGGTGGCGCCTCTTGGAGCAGGAGGCCTTGCAGGGCCCCAAAGACTCATTTCTGGCAGAGTTTGGGGGAGAGAAAGAAAGACTTTTGCTGCTTTCCTTGCGTGCAGCCAGAAGCAGAAGAAGAAAGAAGCGGAAAAAGGCAGCCCGGTGGCCAGGCCAGGTGCGTGGGGGAGTGAGGGCAAGTTCTCCCCTTCTGTCCTTTCCCCCCTCCCCTCACTACCTCGTGTTGTTCACAATGCAAGCGATGCAAGCCTTGTGTTCCCGCGCAGCCTGGATTAATTGATTTTGGGGGTGATTTGTTGGCGACATTTCTCTGCAAACCACCGAAATTTTCTTGTGGACTACCAGTGGTCCGCGGCCCACTGACTGGCGACCACTGCTTTAAAGGTTCCTAACTCGCTGTCCTCTCTTCTCCAACAGGACTCATCCAAGTGCCGTTGGTTGGGCTCAACCTACCCATCATGTGGTTCTATCTCATGATGAACGTCATAACTCAGTATCCTTTGGGGTTTTTTTTGGGGGGGGGTGGAGATATCTAGCAGACATTAACGGTGAACTTGAGGCTCAGCCAACATTCCTGGCTTCCCTATGACAGAGGGGGACTTCTTAAGAGTCCTGCATCTTGTTAAGGTTTTGGAGTGGTGGCCTAGAAGGTGGAGCTCTGGCCTCACAACCAGGAGGTTGTGAGTTCAATCTTAGGTGGAGGCAGTGTGATGAGGCCACACAGTCAGATAATCAGTAGGAGTCCCTTTATTAGCTCCAACTTTTCCCAATGTCCTGGTTCCCTTCTGAGCTGGAGAAAACCTCTCCCAGGAACAGCCTTTGGCTGCAGAGAATCAAGTCCAAAACATGGTCAACACAAACTGTAACTTTAAGTCCAATCAAGCCAAACTGAGGTAATTAGTTTGGCAAGGCAGGAGCAAGAATTCCAGACGTTAAGGCAGGGCAGTAACTCAACACGGTTGGAAGGATGCCAGGAACACAGATAACCAAAGTCAACAAAAGATAAACTCACATTTGCTCCCAGCAGCTGCCGCACTCAGCATGCATTTCTTTTAAACTCCCTTCCCAGGTGTGGCTAATGAAGGGAATCAGGGCCCTTTCCTCCCCCGTAAGCCACGCAACCCACGTTGCTCCCTTCTCTGTTCCTCCCTGCATGCCCTAGAGAGGGTTAGGGTTGCCTAACCCTTCTTTCCTTCCTTCTTTTCCTCCCTCCCTTCTTTTCTTCCTTCCTTCCTTCCCTCCCTTCTTTCCTTCCTTCCTTTCCTCCCTCCCTCCTTTTCTTCCTTTCCTCCCTCCTTTCCTTCCTTCCTTCCCTCTCTCCCTCCTTTCCTTCCTTCTCCATCACTGGAGGTCTTAAAGTAGAGCGTGGACAACCATTTGTCTGCAGTGGTATAGGGTTTCCTGCCTAAGCAGGGGGGGTTGGACTAGAAGACCTCCAAGGTCCCTCCCAACTCCGGTTAATCTCTTCTATTCTATCTCCTTTTATTATTATTATTTGCTCCTTTCCCTTAACGCCGCCCTTTTTCCTCAGATACATCTGCATCCGAGGCGTCTTCACCTTGACCACCGAGTGTACCTCCTTAACCGTCACGCTGGTCGTGACGCTGAGGAAGTTTGTCAGCCTCATCTTCTCCATCCTCTACTTCCAGAACTCCTTCACCGCCTGGCATTGGCTGGGCACCCTCTTGGTCTTCGTGGGGATGCTCTTGTACACTGAAGTGTGGAAAAATCTGGGATTCGCCTGGCCTTGCGGACCCTGGAAGGCGGAGAAGAAGCAGGAGTGATGGAGGGAGAGGGCTTCCCGTCGGATGGACGTTTTTGCGCCGTTCGGATGGACAAAGGGGCCCCGGGTTCTTCACTGGGCAGGCCGGGAAGGTTGAATTTTTGTAACACAACAGTCGCAACTCTTGGCTGGGCCAAGCTGGGCTGCGCCTCCCTTGGAGAAGGGGAAATACGGTTTTGTGTGTCTTTGGGTTGTTTGAGGTGAGAATGATAAGCTGCTTTCTTTGACCGAAGAGGAATCTGATCCGTGGTTTGGTGGCTCCTTCGACTCCATTAATTGGGCAATTTTGCCCCCAAAGTTTGCAAAAAAAAAAAAAAAAAAACCCCACATATTCAACATTGGCTTCTTTTGGTTCATGGATAACCAAATTATTGGGATCAAACTCGGGCTTTTAACAACAAATATATGTGGACGTCACTGGAGCGGTGCAGTGCGGTGGCCTAGAAGTGGAGCACACGCCTCACAGTCAGGAGGACGTGAGTTCGATCCTAGGTAGAAGCAGATCTTTCTCTCTCTGGGCGCGATGAGAATAGATCTGCCGAACAAAACTCCGCGTTGGCAACAGGAAGGGCATCCGGCCATGAAAACAACCTGCTAGCTCCATTCAGACTCCACCCCTGCAAGGGATTATGGGGTTGTTAAGAAGAAGAAGATGATGATGACATGTGGAAGTCGCTCTATGATAGTCTGGTTTACAGTGAAGAACGAGCTCATTCTCCCCTTTCATGAGTGATCCAGGTCATGGTTGAGGAACCTCTGCAGAAGCTTGTGGCCCGTTGGGGACAGAAGAGCCATGCCAGTGAGAACTGGGTGTCCTTGGGCAGGGCTTAAGAAGGTGTGGACAGCTATCAAGTTGCTTTGGGGTTGGAGGGGAGCGTTGACCAGCCATTTGTCATCTTGGTCCAACAATCATCATCCAAAGTTGGTTCCTCAGAAATCAGATTGACCAAAATCTCTCTGTGTCTGTTAATTTGTGGATAGAAGGTAGCTAGATAGCTCTTTCTCCCCAATACCCATGAAGAAACCAAATCTCATGACCTTCATCTAGAACAGGGATGTCCAATCTTAATCACTTTAAGACCTGTGGACTTCCAAGTCCCACAATTCCATAGCCAGCATGGCTGGTTGTGGAATTCTGGGAAGTTACAGGTCTTAAAAGTGGCCAAGGTTGGACATCCCTGATCTAGAATACTTAAATGTCCCTAGATTAAAAATGGCCTATTGGTGAAGGACGAGGAAGACTAACCCAACTTTCTTGAGAGACAAAACCTTGGCCACAAACAGGATAGCTATCTCTCAGGTTCCTTTGGGACAATCCAGGACAGTCTTCTTCAACCTCAACAACTTCAAGAAGATACGTAGACTCCCAACTCACGAGAAATTCTGGGAGTTGAAGTCCACACACAACTTCTGAAAACTTGTTTGAGGTTGAGACACGCTATTGGAAGATTGTTCCAGAATGTCTTCAGATGTTCTCCTGCGAGAGTCTTGAATGGAGATGTTGGCCAGGAACGATGGAATAAGCAACACCACTCTGAATCAACTGGGAAACCGGTTTCTGAATTGATTTAAAATGGGAACTCTGCAAGGGTTCCTGGTCTATCTGGGGAACCTTCTTGTCCGTAATAAGGTCTTCTCCAAACCAAGTCTCCATCTGAACAAACATATCCATCCATATTCTGCTCCCCTTCCTGAACGAGGACGACGAGTTAAAGCTAATTTTTTTTTTACTGTGATTACCTCCTTTAACCATCGGTAGATTTTGATGGTTTATTATTATTATTTTTGCAATGTTTGTGCATATTTATATTTATAATCTGCATTGACAAGCAAGTAGAGTTGCTTTCCTTGGTGCTATGAATCCATGTCCCTCAACAATTTTTAAGGAGCGTGGATTATGGGGGATTCTGGGAGTTGGAAGCCCAAGCATGCTTAAAGTTGCTAGGTTGAGGAACATATAATGGAGAAGTGTTCTTTTTTTTCTTTGATCCATAAATGCATCTCATCTGAATTTTGCTTGCTTTGGTGAAGTGGTTAAAAGCTCCAGAAACCAGGAGACCTGGAATTCTAGTCCTCTTTTAGGCACAATGCCTTAAAAACTGAGCCGCACATTTTTTTCTGAGCCCTAGGAAGAAGGCAGTGGCAAACCACTTCAAAAAAATAACCTTGCCAAAAAAACATGCCCAACATTGTCTAGTCACTGAGAATCATGTAAAATTGACTTTTTAAAAAAACACCATTTTTCGTTTTGGGGGGAATTTCTCCATCTTCACCATAGCCGAAATTGGGTTGTGTTAAATTGCGATGCCCTGGAATTATTCACACCCGGGGCCTTGTGGGTCCTTTTAGGCATGCACAAGCATGCATGCAAACACGGTTGGGGGTTCAAACCCTTAAAAGATAGGATGGCAGCAAGCATACGGTCAAGTAAACCAGGTTCCCCTTAAACCTGGTTTGTTTCCACTGGCGTGCAACGGCTTTGTGAAGAGCCAACCTCTGAGTTGAACATTTGGTGCCAACCCAGAAAAGTGGTTAATCGACATCACTCGGTTGTGGGGTTTGCAAGACTCTTGGCCAAAGATGGTTTCCTATCTAAGTCAATTGCTCTAATGCAGGCTTGGTTTAACTTTAGCAGCTGCCAAGTATGCAAGTGACTTTTGTTCCTGTCTTCCACCATTGCTTGAAGCCGACACAAAGAGGGGCGTACTTGAATTGTCCTTTGGCTTATCCACAAATAAAACCACGCTAGTGTTAGCTAGTCAACCAACTAGTATTAGCTAGTCAACCAACTAGTATTAGCTAGTCAACCAGATACCTGTTTGTTGGAGGAAAAACAAAATACAGAAACCACTTCGTTGTGAACCTGGTTTGTCTCGTGAATACAATCATTCTCATATTTAATGATAATTGTGATATTTTCTGTCAACACAATACCTTGCCCTCACACACACCCCCACACACCGGGGATAAGGTTTGGATAGGATACTTTCACCATGAACTTCATTGAGTATAGATACACCCATGTTTTAAGCAAGAAGATAGTTTTAATGAATCCCTTGAAGCTCTTAAGGTTTGAAAAGAGAAATGTTTGCCAGGCGTAATATGGGTGTATCTTAAAAAAAAACAACCAACTATATGGATCCTGGCTGAAAATAGAATTTATTCAATAAAGAATGTTTGAAATATTTTTTCCCCTGATCTGTTTTTATTTCCTGTCTGTTCTGATCTCGGCTTCCCCAAAAAAGCTCGAAGCAGACTCTTTGTCCCGGCAAAACCCCTTTTATGAAACGAAGGTGAATTTCTTGCATTCGCATTCAGCCCTTTAAAGGCCTGGCAAACTGTCTTCCAAGGGTCTGATTAGGAGCACAGACCTCATCTCGCCTGGAGAGCTGCCAAGTAACTATTTCCAAACGCAGTGCTGACAAGGAAGGACTCGGCACAGAGACTCTGAGATGCACAGACAGATCTTCCCACGGCTGCAACGAACGAATGGTTTCCTGCAAAAGCCCCCTCCCCTTTTGCTCCTCTTTTGGGAGGGGAGGGGCCATTCAGCGTCCACCTGTACCCTTACTCCCTTGTTCCTTAACTGTTCCCTTCTGGCAGCTCTGTGCATGTGCACACTGGAACAGGCTCCAGCTGTTCTTCTGCCCCACTGATCTCTGACTCCGAAGGCAGCTCATAACTGTCGGGCGGCCCTGGCCCCATCTCTGCCTCCGACGCAGAGCCCTCCTCAGAGCCTTCCCCAGACTCCAGGACTGGCCCATAATCCTCCCCAACCGCCTCACTGTTCGAGTCTGCCATCAGCTCTACTGGCCGCTGGTGGGCCACAACAGTGTACATATGTACATATGCAGGCGATGTGTTGGCAGAGAAGCAAGAAATTTGTAGGGAATGCACAGGTAGGCTTCGACTTGCAATAATTCCCTTAGTGACTGTTCAAAGTTACGAGGGCACCGAAAAAAGGGACTTAAGGCCGTTTTTCATACAACTATTGCACATGTCATGGGATCAAAATTCATATGCTTGGCAACTGGCATGTACTTATGATGGTTGCAGCGTCCCACGATCACCCTTTTGTGACCTTCCAACAAGCAGCGTCAACGGGGAAGCCAGATCTGCTTAACAACTGCCCTGATTCATTTAACAGCCATGCCAAGAAAAGTGGCAAAATGGGGCCACGTTCACTTAACCGATGTTTCACTTAGCAGCGGGAATTCTGGGCTCTATTGTGGTCGTAAGTTTGAGGATTACCTGTACCTGGAAACGTTTCACATCTGTTCACAGAATGCGACGACGGACAGCCGGATTTGACTTCCGTCGGGCATCCCAAAGCCCCAAGATTCTTACTTAAAAAATTTAAAAAGAACGACCTCCAACATCACACAGGTAAATAAATCTTTTATTTAAAAGGCGCTAAATGGAGGAGGAATGTTCAAAAATCGTAGAGTAAGGCACTCGTTTTGATATATGGACCAACAGGTTCCTTACATTATGGCAGGGGGAAATAGGAATATTGTTCTAAACAACATTATAATCGGCTAAACCTCTCCTTTTTAACCCAGAAAAATCTGGTTTAAGAGCTATATATAATTATATATATTTATATTTGTTTTCTTAAGTTATATTTATATATAAGTTTATATTTAGTTATATATATATATAAACTTGCAAAGAGCACCAGGAACCCACCAGAAGTAGCATGTTGTGTCACCAAACAAGTCTTTTTTTAAAAAAAAATTATTGAAACAAATTGGAGGTTTCCTTACGCCGGGTGGGCAGGTTCGAGCGGGGCTTCCCGCTTTGGGGGGGCCCAGAGTCGGTGCTACTCGGGAGCCAAAGGCGTTTTGGGGAGGGGGGGAAACAGGACCGGTGTCCCTGGGCTACGGCTTCAGCCACACCACCGAGGCGTAGCTCTCTGCGGGGGCGGCCTTGGGCTTCTTCCGACCGGAGGGGATAGGGGGAAGGACTGGCTTGGTGTTGGATCCTGGACGGACGGTGACCGTTAGGGGGAGGTGAGGGGAGGGGGTTTTGTGTTTGGGCGTCTTCTTTTCCTTGCCGTCCGCGGGGCGGTCAGGGGCGGCCTCTGTAAAAGAGAAGGGGATTTTTTTGGGGGGGGGGGGGGGTTCTTTCTTTTCTTTCCTTTTTCTTTCCTTCTTTTTCTGTCTTTTCTTTCTTTCTCCTTCCTTCCTTTTTTCCTTGCTTCCTTTCCTCCCTCCTCCTTCCCTTCCCAGTTTTCCTTCCTTTCCTTCCCCCCCTTTCCTTTTTTCCTTCCTTCCTTTCCTTTTCTCCCTCCTTCGCTTTCCCTTTTCCTTTTCCTCCCCTCCCCTCCTTCTCTTCCCTTTTTTTCTTCTTCCCTCTCTCCTTCCCTTTTCCTTTTTTCCTCCCTTTTCTCTCCTTCGCTTGCCTCTTTTTCCTTTTCCTCCCCTCCCCTTCCTTCCCTTTTCTCCTCCCTTCCCTCCCTTTTCTTTCCTTTTTCTTTTCTTCCTTCCCTTTCCTTTTTTCCTTCCTTCCCCTCCCTTCCCGTTCCTCTTTTGTTCCTTCTTTTCCTCCCTCCTTCCCTTTCCTCTTCTTCTTTTTCCTTCCCTCCCACCCCTTCCTCTTTATCTCCTTCTTTCCTTCCCTCCCTTCTTTCCTTTTTCTTTTCTTCCTTCCTTCCCTCCCCTTTCCTCTTTTTTCCTTCCTTCCCTCCCTCCCACCTCCCTTTCTCTTTCCTTCCTTCCTTTCCTCCCATCAATCTGTCCATTCTTCTCTTATCCTTTCTTCCTCCCTCCCTCCCTCCTTCCTTTCTTTCCTCCCTCCCTTTTCTTCCTTCCTCCCTCCCTTTTCTTCCTTCCTTCCTTCTTCCCTCCCTTTTCTTCCTTCCTTCCTTCACTCCTTCTCCTTCCTTCCCCCCTTTTCTTCCACTAATCCATCCATTCTTGTCTCTTGTCCTTTCTTCCTTCCTCCCTCCCTCCGTCCCTTCTTTCCTCCCTCCCTTTTCTTCCTCCCTCCCTCCCTTTCCTTCCTTCCTTCCTTCACTCCTTCTCCTTTCTTCCCCCTTTTCTTCCACTAATCCATCCATTCTTCTCTCTTGTCCTTTCTTTCTTCCTCCCTCCCATTCCTTTCCTTTCCTTTCCTTTCCTTTCCTTTCCTTTCCTTTCCTTTCCTTTCCTTTCCTTTCCTTTCCTTTCCTTTCCTTTCCTTTTCCTTTTCCTTTTCCTTCCTTCCTTCCTTCCTTCCTTCCTTCCTTCC